GGCTCTATTAAAACTCATACAATCCCCAGGCCCCCCCTAATGTAATTAAGTAACTTTCAATTGTGGGCCCGAAACCGCGAAATCCCGGGGCCCGGCAGTTTTATTATTAGGGGAGGGTTTAATAATAGGTGGAAGCGATTAAAATATATACATATTTGCCAAATTATTCACTGCATGTGGTCATGCATCTGTTGTCCATGCGCTTCTTGTGCTTCTGTCTACATGTGTGTGTGTGGTTGTCTATTTCTAAATATAGAATTCATCTAGAATACACCAATATCAAGACGTGACGCATGTCCTTGCACGCATGCATACATTGCATCTACGTATACATGTTTAGCCTCCACAGCTGTCATTCTGACAGCAGAGGCGAAACTCAAGGATTACATATCGAGGAAAGTCGAATGTGGACACTGCAAGACAAGAAATAACAGTAGGCAAGCTGACGCAACGGTACCCCAATCCAATAAATCTGAAGCACTACAGTCAAGTTCGTTTCTGTAGCCTTGCAACTAGAACTAGAGCAACATGCGGCACACTTCATGTACTGTTGCGCTAGTCTAAAGAAGCCGGTAGGTCAGGTCACAAGCACTCGCACAGCAAAGAGAGCCACCTAAGGAGTTTAAGTGAACGCATTCCGGCATCATCTGGAAGTCTGCTTCAGACCCACACAAAGTGTAGCTTCGATCGAAAGGAAACACAGGCAAGTTCCTTAGCGCATCTGCTCCCAAAAGCACGACCCCTACATGAAAAGGGTGTAGGGTGTAGGGAAATATCCAGGTCTTGAATCCGTGCCCTCATCACCGAAACCCGTACGAAACCGCTGTCGAGACCTGCAGAACTCCGATGCTGAGCTGCCATCATTTACTGTCACTGCAAGATGGGTTTCGGAATTGAGCTTCAGGGGTTTTGATTTCTTCGGAAGATACCAACATGACTGGCCGGTACGCTATGATGGAATACGACACTTGCTAATATGCATACTCACAAACATATGTGTAGGACCATATACAGGGCGCAGAGTATCAGACATGTCTTTGCAAAGATTGACGCCAACATGCAGCTTGTCAACTGCGGCAGCTGCGAACAGCTCACACCGCTGCAACTCTCAAGCAATGCACACCTAGCCCTAACATGTACATACAGAGCGCGATAGAGAGGCTTTGTGTCACAGCGCGGGGCCAGTGACATTTTGCACCTAATCGTCTTGGCTTCGAGGTAGAGGCTGTCTACTACAACTCAAACCCCAGAGTCGGATCTGAAAATCCCCCGCAGAATTGCTTCAGGAATGCCCTGTCTCTGCAAAAGTGTAGAACTCAGGACACATATGCAGATCTCAGCAAATCAAAGGCCCTTGATCGGCTCATGGGGCCGGTAACTTCTCCCTCTGATTGCCTCAATAGGGAAGTGGAGAAGTACGCAGATGTAGGGCCCGAGCGGAAGGGCATCCTTTCAGATTTAGGACGTTCAGGGCCTAGAAGCTCTGAAGAGCTTAAGGGATTGAGTCGGTTGTAGGGTCGATGTGCTTTGCTCGGCCCCAACATCATGTTAACACTGTAGCTCCGGCCATGTGGGAGCTGAGCACGGTGTAGCCAACGCCGTAGTTGTCAAGAGGCTGTCGAGTCAAGTTGGCACGATGTCTTCAGAGGTTTTAGTGGAATCCAATATGCGGCTAGAAAACCATCCAAGCCTGAACCCTAAACCCTGAATGCAATGCCATGTACCGTACAATCATCGAGGTACACTCTGAACAAAAACAGTTACTATGACAGTACATAACTTGAAATACATGTGCTAGTGAGCCACCTTTATGGAATGGAGGCTACGATCGTCGTAAGAAGAAGCAAGCGGCTACCCTAAACCCTAAACCCTAAACCCTAAACCGTGCTTGCCTCAATCCTCAATCCGGCAGCACCTCCGGACTTCAGAGACTCGTCTTGCCCGACAGGCTCCTAGAACCTAATTCAGCCCCAAACCGCAGCTCCAAATTGCAAGCCTTTAAGCTTAAGTCCTATTCCGCAAAGCTCTCAATCCTAATCTCGAAGCTTTGAACCCTACGGCGAAAAGCCCTGAACCCTATAAGTTGACACCCTGAGCCCGGTCGGTGCCAGTTTCAGGTTTAGGGTGTGGGCTTCGGGGGTTTGAAGCATGGTGTTGTTCAGTGAATGCCGAAGCAACCTAGCAATGCTACAACCACAAACCCTCTACTCGCCACGACTCCCACTATATTCGCAGGTGCATACCAGAGAAGAACAGCCAAAGGCGGGCGCTGACAAAAAGGGGATGCTTCCAAAGGGGGACCATTAAGCTGACAAGGTGGCTTCTCAGCAACCCGTGGGATTCACCGAACGGGTCGCGAAGAAGGTCTCAGCATAGGTCGAATTCCGGAATTTAAAAATCCCAAGGCAACGCACGCACGACCCACATCTAGACAACTCTCCAAGCAAATACGAAGCTCTCCTTTAAAAAAGATGTTGCGCCTTGGTCCTGCGACTGAAGTTGTCAAAACCATGAACAAGTGAGGCAGGAGGAATATATTGGCCATGTATAGCAACTGCATGCACTACTCCACCCCTGAGAATGCTCAAAACCACAATTGGCCGTGCGTAGCCTGTGCGGGAGATCGTTCTTGCCTCGTGTTTCAAGCAAGATATGGAGTCCAGCGACCTCAGCCGATTCCACCGTCATGGCCTGAACCATACACCTCTGATAACTTTTGGGTTTAGGTATGAATGCAAC